AACTGTGAGTACATACATTTCTGTTGTTTTAAGCCACCAAGATGGTGATGATTTGCTACCATGGCAGATGAAATTAACTAACAGACTTTCCGATTTCTCAGAGATAGAACCCAGTGTTTGATTTTTGTGCAACTTAGCCTTGAAAGGTTTTCTCTGGGCTTATAATGTATACCATCCACCACGGCAGAGAAGACATGGTGGTGGCGGTGAGAACCGCTCTGGCTGAGGCAGCAGGAGCAAGAGGTGGCTGGCCACATGTTCAGAGAGGACACAGAGGGATGGATGAAGGCTGGCACCCAGCTTGCTTTCTGCTTTCCCCCTCCGTAGCCAGTCTAGGATGGCAGCCCGTGGGATGGTGCTACCCACATTCAGCATGGGTCTCCTAGGTGACATTTTTCTGGAAGCCTAGAGTTAGGCCTCCTAGGTGATCCCAGGGCATATCCTATCCTGTTGGAATTGAGTGTTCTCCATCTCAGTCTCAAATCTGTTTTGAAGAAAATGTGCTTCGGCACTTAGTCTCAAGGAAGCAGCCTCCTCTGGGCTGTGATATCCTGACGATGGCAGGCGGCAGCTCTGAAGAGATGGTGCAAACTTGTATGGTCTCTGTTTTGAGTTAGCCACACTGCCATGTCTTATGGTAGTGTGCATGAATACACGGCCAAGCGCACTATCACTGGGGCTCGCAGGGAAATAAGAACTAGCAGGCAGAGAGATACACATCCCCACATCCTGAACAATGTAGCTAGACTTAAGTAAGTGTAAGTGAATGCTTAAGTAAGTAAATGCTACGCATCCCGGGACTGCTGTCGAGGGTGGGACTGATCCTTCGGCTAGGGGCTGAACCTGACTCTTCTGTATTGGACTGGGACTCTCACAAGGGGTTGGGATGGTGCCTCAGTGCTATTGTTCCCTCGATCGTAGCAGCAGTAAACCTAAATCCACTTTTGATTTCAGGGGACTGTCATTACATAAGATGATGGCCAAATGAATGTGCATTAATCAAATATGAGATAGAGTTACTGTGAGAGTCAGCAAACACACTGAAGTTACCACCCAAACTTTTAGATATTAAAATTAGCAAACTATACAGTAGTTAAGAGGACAGGCATGGTGACACAAACCTTTAGTTTAGCATTCAGGAGGTAGAGGCAGGAGGGCTCCTGTAAATTCAAAGCTAGTCTGGTATACACAGTGAGTTCTAAACTAGCCAGGGCTATATAGAGCAAGATTTCATTAGCTGGGATCCCAGAAGAAGAGATCAAAGAGAGTGGGCAAACAAAGCTACCAAAGACACAAGAACCAAGTGTTCTTCAGAAGTGACAAAGACTTAAATCCACGGACGTGCAAGGGGGTGCGAGGCAGGGGAAAGAAAAACAGAGTGTTGAGACATAGTAAGTTTAGAGCCCCAATATCCTGAAAGCAGATGTGGCAACCTAATTAGACCAAGAGCTGTGCATTTCATCCCTATCCACGGGAGCTAGACTTTAGAGAAACAGCTCCAACCTGCTGATGTTGAGACACAGTCCACAAGGACTTTGAATCGTACACACTCTCATCACCTGTCAAGGACTATCGAGGATGTTTACAGATGGACAAAGCTTGAGTTTACCCCCATTGATGCTTTACAAAGTAATTTAAAAGGACAAATCTCTGGAAAAAGGAAAATGACCCTAAAGGAACATACAGAAAGCACTGAGGAACCCAAATGGGGTAAGCAAGGAAAACTATATTGGAAAAGCTGTTACCCTTGTATAATAATAATGTCCAATGTTGTAGTTAGAGAGAAAGAGGGGGCAGTGGAAGTGAAGGGGGGGCTGGGAGAGTCTCCGTGGTAGATCCCTTGCCCTGCCCTTGTGATGCTCTAGGTTTAATGTCCAGCATCACAAATACAAATCAGAATGAAAGTTTTATCAATACTGTATAAGGAATTGGAAAAAATTAGAAACAATGCAAAACCCAACAACCATGTTTTACCTGGGCGTGGTGGAACATGCTTTTAATCGCAGTACTCAGAAGCAGGTGGATTTCTGTGAGTTCAAGGACAGCAGGGCAACATAGGGAGACCTGTCTCAAAAACAAATAAAACAAACAGGCAGGCCTGGTGGTGCACACCTTTGGTCCCAGCACTTGGGAGGTGGAGGTTGGTGGATCTCTGGTTCAAAGCCAACCTGGTCTACAGCCCAAGTTCCAGGACAGCCAGAGGGACACAGAGAATCCTGTTTTGGAGAAATTAAAATAAATAATTAAACCAAAAATAAACAAGCAACTAAAAACAAAGTCCATTATTTTAAACTTTTTTTTTTTTATTTCTCAGACGGTGTTGGGTATAGCTTTGATGTGTCACCTTAGGCACACATGTAAAGTGTTAAGTGCCAGCTGTGAAAGAACAGAAATGCAGGCTCACACACCAAACAGAAGGGAAGAAATGCAGTGAGAAGCCAATGAAACTTATTAATAGAGACTCTCAAAAAAGGTAGAGAGTACTCAGTAACATGTGGGGCAGGTGTAGGCATTTTAGAAATAATGATTTTGAAAAAGGAAATCACACAGCCAGCCAGAAGGTAGATGTTTTGGAGGGTTGAACAAATGAGGAATCATAGGTCTCAATCTCAGTATTTTATTATTTTAGAATGCCAGAATCAGTAGCAGCACACAGGCCTTCAAAATGCATTTCCTAAAGCCTTAGTTATTTTTATACAGAAGTAGTTATTTGCAAGTCATTCACTGTTATCTATATCTGTAGCTGTCAAAAACCTGAGTGATAGCTATTTCTTCATATAGTCACTGGCCCCTTCTCAGTGCCTCAAGGAATGTTGCTAAGCTCCATTGTGACAGCAGCTCTTCCAAGCATATAGCCATTTTCAACATATCTGCTCCAGGAAACATAGTCACTAGTAAAAAAAAAAAACAGCGCTAACTGATAAACTGGCACAAGCTTGCAGTATTATATACTATTCTGCTTTGAGTTAACTTACAGATGGGATTTCTGCTAGGCAACGCAATAATCTGCAAGCAGGCGGCTAATCCTTAACATGCTCCCTGTTTGTGATTACCCTTTGTATTCGGACGTCGTTCGTGCTTGTTCTTCACTTTTGGTGGCCCCCACTGAAGATCATCTGCCGAACACCCCGAGTCCCAACCAAATCTAAGATGTCAAGGGCAAAGTGCAGCAGCCTCTGGAGGAGAGACGCAACTACTCTACGGTTTCTGAATAGACATCACGCAGCCGGGAAGAAGACGGAGAATTTTCTCGTAGCTATCCTTGTCTGTCCACCACACCCATAACAACCCAAGATCTCTTGACTTCACTGGTAAATGTTCCCATCCTATCTCACTCTACAAATGACCTCTGTATTTGTAATATATAGCGTCTTCTAAAGTGAAGAAAGGGAGAAAAAACCATGAAAATGTAAAAGTGCAGAAATGTAACTGCAGTCCAAAGGTCCCTGACCCTTGCTGTGTTTTGTAATCACCTGAAAAGGTTTAAAACCGAACCCCTCCCCTCCCCGCCCATGCCACCTATTAGTTACAGGCCTGGGGGTGGGTGGGCCCAGGGCAGTCATCAAGGATCACCAAGTGTTTCTCTGTGTAGCAGTTTGGGAGCTGTTGGCTTAGGATACACGGGTAACACGGAAAATAAAAGACCCAGAGACAGATATTGGGGTTCAAGCTGAAGATCAGAAAAGTGAAGCAGCCTACCAATAGCTCTTATTCTATCTAAAACTAAAAGGCCGTCCTGGCTCCACCAAACCACCAAACCTCAGACTGCTGCTTCTCCTCCTCCTGGCTGGAGAATCCTGAGACTTCAATGTCTTCCTATCCTTAATGTGGCTGGAGAATGAGTGCCAGCTCTGAGACTCTGCTCCTGTCTTTTTTTTTTTTTTTTGTGTGGGGGAGGATTTCGAGACAGGGTTTCTCTGTGGCTTTGGAGGCTGTCCAGGAACTAGCTCTTGTAGAGTAGGCTGGTCTCAAACTCACAGAAATCTGCCTGCCTCTGCCTCCCAAGTGCTGGGATTAAAGGCGTGTGCCACCAACTCCCAGCCACTGTTCCTGTCTTAAATACTTCTCATGAGCTCTGGGATAAAAGGCATGTGATTCCAAGTGCTGAGATCATCTTTGTGTGAGATGTTTCACTTTAGGATTAGATGTATTTCCTGTTGCTCAGTGTGGCCTTAAACTAACAGAGATCCATCTACCTGTTAATCTTAAGTCCTGGGATTAAAGGTGTATGCCTGGCTTCTATGGCTTGTGGCTAACACTATGCTTTCTGAATCCTCAGGCAAGCTTTAATAAATCATAATTAATATATCACCACATGAAGATAGGTCTCAGGCTAACCTGCATGTGAGGATCACCTGAGCTGCTACTGTAACCACTGATACCTGCCCTCCTTCACTGACCTTGTGAGGACAACCTGCTCTTTGTCTACTTTTAAAGCTCTGCAGATGCTCCTACCCTGCATCCAGTGAACAAGACCACTGCACTGGGAGAAAACTGGTACACAGTTACAAAGGACACTGATAGTTTGAGGTAAGTTTTTTTAATGGCTCCGTGCTCTGGATCTCCTGGTAGCCAAAGTAACTTAAAAACAAAAATCACAATCAGCAGGGGCAGGTGTGGGTGGGGTGGGAGTTTCAATGCTGGTGCAGGTCTTTAATCCCAACACTCAGGAGGCACAGACAGGTGGGTCTCTGTGAGTTTGAGACCAGTGGTCTACAGGGCAAGTTCCAGAACAGCCAGGGCTACACAGAGAAAGCTGTCTCTAAAAGACATAAAACCAAACCAAAGCAACAAGCAAAAAAAAAAAAGAAAAGAAAAAAATTTTTTTGACCATCCACAGTATAAAATCTCACCAGTTCCTTGAAAGGCAGTAATGATTCTTTCACAGACCTCTAAGTAAATGTTTTGTTTGAATCTGCTCATCTGGGATGTTGAATAATGTTACGGATCACAATTTTGTAAACTATCCATAATAAATGGCGCACAGCAAATTTCCTAAGTATATTTTACTATGAACTTTTATTGATTCTTTGAGAATGTAAAACACGCATACCATGCATTTTGATCACGACCATGCCCCACTTCTCATATTCATCCCTAGTGAGTGTCAAGGGCATGACCCAGGCAGCAGGTGGCATAGGCTGCTGTGTTGGAGGTGGGGAGGGAGCAGGATGATGGAGGACAGGATGAAGAAGTATGACACCCTTCCACAGGATGATGGAGGACAGGATGAAGAAGTGTCCAGATGACTCAGCGTGCTGTATGACTTTTCCTGGGGAGAGACGAACAGATGTAGATTCATCTCTGGTAGGACACGGTGAAACAGTGTCTCTACTGCAGCCTAGTGAACCGATGACCACTTAAAGGGACATGGATGACTCAGATGCAGCTGCGTCACGGAAAAGCCCATCTATATGGTCATGGATAGTTGCTCAGGATGGCTGCATCCCTGGGACTCCCTGCCCAACTTCCAGGCAGTGCCACTGGATAGCCGGCCTTCCTGTCACCAATTTATGGGTTTAATGTAACCACCGGCTCAGGGTTTGTAAGCCTTACAACTATCTGAGGGAGTCTGCCTTGCTCCTGGAGAGGATGTTTCTATTTGGAGAGAATAGTTGTTTAAGTCAGCCTTACCCCTAGGATCAGAAATAAACATTTTTCTTTAAATGTGTTTTATTTATATGTGTATGTCTGCAGGAGTGTGTGCCCTTATGTGAAGACAGAAGAACTCATTCCAGTTAAGGCATTCGAAGGAGGATGGGATTGTAACAGAATCATCTCTGGAGCTCCCAGGAAGATGGTTTTTCTTTCTGGAAACTGAAAGAGTTGATTAGCTCGTTCTCCTGACCTTATACACCATAACATAAAGTGAAAATTTGACAAAGTCCTGCTCGTGTATATCGAAGAGATTCCATTTATATGGGTCAGAGGCACAGAGAAGGGCGTCTAAAAACGTGGGATGCATGTTTGTGCACGGGTGTGTGTTTCTTTTATAAAAAGAAAAATAGCCTAGGTTTGATAAGTTGAAAATTCATGATGGGAAAACACGAGCAGAGTTCTGTGAAATGTTCCTTCAATCTTTATTCTTCTTGGTAGGGATTTTGTGGCACCTAAGCGCCATATAAACTTGATGACTCTGAATTCTGAGCAGTGTGTTGATTCCAGGGGGGCGCTGACTTCAAAGGAAACCATTACATGGGGGCATATAGCAAGGGAGGAAAGGGAGAGCTAAAGTTGGGGCATGTGGACCGTCTTTCCTTTTGATTTGCAGGGTGCACACCAGGCATTTGATCATTAAGGTGGGCCAGGCAAGGTAAGTCTTCCTTCAGTGAAAATCCTATCCTTTCAGATAAAACCAGACACTCTGATGATTTCTTTTTAAAGGCAATAGCGTGTTCTTTCTGTTTTCATTTCTAATTCACCACTGCACACAACATTTAAATTTAAGGAACAACCGGCTTCCTTTTGTTTTTTGTTTTGAGACAGGGTTTCTCTCTGGCTTTGGAGGCTGTCCTGGAACTCACTCTATAGACCAGGTTGGCATTGAACTCACAGAGATCTGCCTGCCTCTATCTCTCAAGTGCTGGGATTAAAGGTGTGCGCCACCACCGCCCGGCTGTTTTTGTTTTTGTTTTGTTTTGTTTTGAGACAATGTCTCCATAGCCCTGGTTGTCTTGGACTCACTATGCAAACCAAGCTGGTTTCAAACTCACAAAAGATCCCCCTGCCTCAGCCTCCCCAGTGCTGGGATTAAAGGCATGCACCACCACGCCTGGCTCTTAGGGAAGGTTTCTTGAAACAAGTAGAGTGACGAATTTCCCTTAACTTATTTAAAGTAGCTTCTTGCATTGCTGTACTTCGAAGGGCTTGCTAGAGAAACTCCCTATCTGGAATGTGGGCAGACTCCTACGGTAGCTAATAAGATGTCTCCAACGTTTGCATTTGTAAAGGACAAACTTAAACTTGAATTTGGTATTTCACGTTGTGCCTTACAAAAAAAAAAACCAAAAAAAACGAGCTTTTATCAAAGAACCAGGCAGCCCGGGTTTCAAGTGGGTGGGTGTGTACTCAGCGCGGGTGCAGAGTTGGTTTTGTTCCCAGTAGAGTTGACATCCGCAATGGCGACTCGCGGCCACACCGGGGCAGCCTCTCCTAGGCTGGCCTCCCGGCCAGGCTAATCGTTTCGGGGAGCTGACGCGGTGAGCCAAGTCTGGCCTGCCCTTGCTGCCAAGAATTTAAAAGGGGTCTAGAAACATGCATTGTCGCCCTTTTAACGCTCCTGGGGACTTCGGGTTAAGAAAAAAAAAAGAAAGAAAAAATGTAAACAATGGTTTTGTTGTTGTTTGCACGGTGTCTTCATGGTCCCCTAAGGTCCAGTTCACTGGGTCCCCAAGGCAGAGGAAAGCGGGGCAAGTAAGAGGGTCAGCCCGGCAGGCCCAGCCCGCCAGGGCGCGCCCCAGCTCAGGACTCGGCGCGGGTGACCCAGGAGGCGCTGGGGGGTGGGGTGGGCGTGGGACGAAACACCACCGCCCCCGCGGCCCGCCCCCCAACCCGGCCTGTGATTGGCTTGGGGGGCGCCAGTGCCCGCCCCGGCGAGCGGGAGGGTCCCCGTGGGCTCCGGGCGGCGCAGGCGGGGCGGAGGGAGGGGGCCGGGCGGAGCAGGCGAGGGGCGGGGGCGCGGGTCCCAGGGATCGCTTTGCGGGATTGGGGAGGCAGGGAGAGCCAGCGGCGGGGGCGGGGGCGGGAGCCCGCGGGCTGATCACTGAGCTGAGAGAGCACTCGGCCAGCCGCCGCTCGGCGCGCTCTCGGAGCCGCCAGTCCGCGCGTCCCCGCAGCCTTCCGGGAGGAAGCGGCGCCGCGGCCGGGTGCAGCCTCACCTGCCGGTCCTTCTCCGCCGGGCGGCGCAGAAGAACAGAGGGTCGCGGCCCCGCGACGCACTTCAGTCGATCGCAGCGTCTAGGACCCCGCGCGGGGCGCCGGCTCCATGGCGACCGGGCTCGGGGAGCCGGTCTACGGACTTTCGGAAGAGGAGGTGAGTTCCTGCCCAGAGCGCTGTGGGGAGGGGACGGGGCCACCCCGCTGTGCGCGTTCCTTACCAGCCGTGGGTCCCGGAATCCGGGTGACCCAGAGCGGTCCGGAGCGGTGGGTGACTTGGTCCTCCCTCCTCACCCGGGTGAAGCGCTCCGCTCCTCGGCCCGGGGCTCTCGGGGTGGGCGGAGGCCGCGTGCGCCGCTGCCTGCCCCGCGGGTCCCTTTCCTCTGCAAGCCGCGTCTCTCGGGGCTGTTAGGCAACTTTCCTGGTCATGCCCCTGCAGCCAGGAGTCCGTGACGTGTGTCACGTCTGGGTCTCTGCAGGGGTCTCTGCGTGGCGCAGGCTATCTAGGGATTGTTGAGCCTGGTGGTGTCTCCCCCTGGGACTTTTCTTGCTAGTGGGCGCTCCGCAGCGGATGTGTGCAGATCCCGGAGAGAGTGGGGGACACAGGGAGAGTTGCCTGCGGCCGCCCCTGGGTCTTGCAAAGTCTGGAACTGGGATTGTGCGTTCCGAACACCTATTTTGGTGTTTGGAGGTGATCTGAGGAGGCGGCAGGTGCTGCAGGAAACTTAGGGGAAGCTTGCAGCCCTGCCATTTCTCCCTCGTCAAGAGGATTCAAAACCCGGCACCTCCGGGGTGGGTGGAGAGAAGAAAGCTCCATTGATCTCTTTTATTAATAAAACGAATGAAATAAGCCACACCCCCAAACGGTCGGTTTGACTGGAGAGGGCTTTGTTTTTAAAAAAACCTCACTCGCTCATCGCGGTCCCCACTCCCCCTTTTGAAACGATCCTGCTAAATCACTGCTCAGCCCTGACTCGACCAGCCATTCTCGACTCTTATTGGTGTGTTACTCTGCCAAAAAAAAGGGGGGTGGGAGGCCTGTCGCGGGCGCGGAGTGACAGGCAGGCTGGATGGAGCAGGTAGGAGTGGTTCGCCATCTGGTGGGGTGCGCGCCCAGGTCTGGCTCCCCTTTCGAGAGGTGAATTTACAACCCATGAAGCATTACTCAGCGGGGAGGTATTTCCTATCCTGGTTGTGCATTTCATGAAAAGTGGATGCCTGGAAATTTGGGCTTTCTCGGTTTTTCTTTCTTACCCTCGCTCTTTTCTTTCTGAGGTTCTCTCTTTCTCTGGTGATGGGGGTGGGGTTTAAAGAGAGTCTATTATCTGAGACGGATTCACGGATTCGCGTTATGACTTTGCTTTCAGCAGCTTCCCTGCTGGCATGGGTGTGTGCGTGCGTGTGTCTTTCACAGCTTTTCTACTGTGGCATGGCGTGTGAGTGTGTGTATTCTACCTAAGTGTGGAATGAAACGGGTATCTTGTGGTAGGCAGGGCATGTAGGGGTTGGTTTTATTTTTTGATACTGCTTGCTGGATTGCTTATTTTATCAAAGAATGATCACAATGCAAATAATGTGTGATGTGTTTTTGATTATTTGCTTTGCTTGTGTAAAATAAAGTGTGTGTGTGTGTGCGCGCGTGCGTGCACGCTCGCTGTTACCTGGTGATGGGTGAAAGTAGACTTGTTTTGTTTACCCAGGGGATTCTCCTCCTAGCTCCTTGTCTAGAGCTGGAGGGCAGAGTGAGCTCTTGGAGGTGCTGAGATACTGAACAAAGGGCTCCCCCTGGATGAGGTGTCAAGGGAGATGAAGACAGCTGCATTTCATCTTAGGGTCCCTTAATTTTTAAAATAACATGCTTATTTTTAAAAGCTCCTTGAAGGAAATATTTTAAGGCTGTTTTGGGAAATGCATCTGCCTAAAGGAATCCTTCCTGTCACTGGTGAGCGCGCGCGCTTTGTTTATGCTGGCAGTCAGGGTCAGATTCCACCTCGGGAGCATCTTGCCACTTTTGTCTTTGAGAATGGAGAATCGCTGCTGATCCTGACTGGTGTGGGGTGTGAAAGGGAAGAACACAGACACAAGAACCGAGTGTGTCTGTGACTGTTCGCTCCTGCATGCTGTCAGAGGGACTGTATAGGGAATAGCAAGAGGAGATGAAAAACACTATTTATTTATGTATTCTGTTTAGTTCCTCGCACATCATATATGATCCAAAATAAGCCGCATCTGCCTCCCTTTTTCATTTTTCTCTCACAACAGAAAATGATTGCCTTCATATTTCTAAGGTATTTGGTGTGGGAGGTTCCTCTCCGTTCAGGGATGGGGGGGGCATTTGAAGACAAGACAGAACGCCTTCATATAGTATTAGCATCAAATTGTTAAATTTGCTTGGTTTGTTGCCTCTCCCGAATTAGTGTGTAAGCAAACAAATGGGAGTAATTAACAGGCTCTGAAAGTGGACTGCTTGATGAAATGAACAGCACCAGAGGCTTGTCAAGTTGTGTTAAATAGAGAGCACCAGAGTATCACATGGAGATACCCATGCAGGGGTAGAGAGGAGTCTGCTTGTAGACCTTGAGAAAAATAGGCACTGTACACAGGATGTCCTTGTAAGTAGACATATGTCCATGTTTGATGGTGGCAGAAAGCTTTATGTATTTGGAAGGAACTTAGTCATGCCCCATCTTATAAAGGCATTGTGAGCTATGTACTGCTATTGGTCAAGCTTGGTGCTAACCTAGAGCATAGCAGAATGCCACAAGACATCACTGCTTGGGGCATCAGCCTAAGGTCTGGCTAGTATACTGAATGAGAAGGATTAAGATGTAACTTTTGCTACTGTGGGTGTATGTGCTACGTATGCATTGCAGTTGGATTTCCTTGGGTGATTTTGAATTCATATGCACTCTTATTTAAGGCATGTCAGTTTCAGATGAGTTTTGTTTGGTATCAAAGGGATTAGCTAATGAACAACAGTTCATATTCATGGCTGAGGACCAGATTTGGTTTGGAATCAGAAAGGTTTGGACAAGTTTCTGTATCTGGGTTGGGTCCTTGAAGGGCTTTTTCTTGTTTGAGTTTATTTGTGGCCATCTTTAGCCTGTTTTGTCAAGGTTTACTTATGAATATTATTGTTACTCTTTTGAAATCTTTCATTACACCCGAGAATGTATCTGGTTTTTTTTTTGTTGAGATTTTTCTATTGGGTGAGATATCAAGAGTTTGAATGAGACTCTTCTGAAAAGATTAGCTATGGTATCCCAGCACATAGAGGCAGAAGAAGGAATGGTGAGCTTGAGGCCAACCTGGACTAAAAGCCAGAACCTTGTCACAAACAAGCAGACAAGCCAGGAAACAAAAACAAAACAAAAAACCAACACCAAAACCAAATAAAACAATGGGATATGTCACTTAACATATTTCTGGTGGCTAGAATGGGGTGAATGGCATAAGAATGCAGATCAGGCCGACATAAGATGGTATTTGGATGCATTGCTTATTCCATACAAACAACTATATACATTAGGACTAAACCTTGAGCATGTGTCATCTAACTTGTGCTTCATTAAAAACTCTTGAGGTATGCTGTCTTTTCTGGCTGAGGAATGGGAGCTAAGAGAGCTTAAATGAACTGTGTGACAACATTCATCGAGTGCCTAGGCCTGTTGGCCCCAGAGCCCTAGTTTTTAAAGTTTGCTCCCAGGTCTCCCTTTTTGTCAAAGCGTCTTGCAAGGTTTTCAAAGCTAGATTATTCATGATCGTGGAAAATGAGCTAAACATTGTGGGTTGCAAACAAACACTCTTTGACCAAAATTGACGGCTAGCTCTCATTAGTGTGGTCTCCATACTGTGTTAAAGCTTGGGAGGGTTTATGAAAAAATGATGAGAAATGTAGCTTCTCTGGGTCACATTCTCACGGGGCGACAGTTAGGAGCTTTGTATGCCTCTCCTGTATGGTAGTGTATGTAGCTGTCACAGTCAGCACTCTTCTCTGTGACCTTAGGGGTCTCTACTGATTTGTATGTAATTATAAACTTGCTAATTATGAACACTTAAGGTTAACTTGGTCGTAATTGAATATTGGTTAAATTTTAAGGCCCTGACCAACTTAAGATGCATCATTATTTTATGTGCCACTAAGAAAGAAAAACAAAAACTGCTGTCAAAGTAAGACGTACTGTCAATTTTAGGAGGCATCTTTATTACATAGACGTTAAAGCTTGAAACAAGGATATTTCAAAAGGGATGAGTTCTATTGGAAGAAACTTGGTGATTTACTCTAACTGGTCGGAATCTGAATGTGTAGTAGTGGAACTTTGTTGTTTTCATCATGTGATGCTCTGGCTTGAATTCAGAGCTTTGCCTATGAAGCAAATGCTTCCCCACTGAGCTTGCAGCTTCAGGTTAGCACTGTCAAGATTTCTGCGTCTGTATCTGTAGCTGCACCTGCATCCAAGCAAGAGTTTAGAGTCTTTGATGGGCATTCGCATGGGAGAAGCCAGAGGCTCCATGGTGCCGCTCAAACAGCCATCTGTAAACTCATGTCTAAAGTGTCCGCACAGACCCTGCGCACCATCATGGCAGTCGTGGAAGGCATTCAGGACAAGATTGCTTCTCCGAAGTCACTGTGTGGATGATGTTTGTGTCCTAAGGTGCGGGGGCGGCTAGACAGCCTTTCCAGTCATTTCATCCCTGGTGCTGTGTCAGGGTTGTTATACGCCCTCATATGCTGTGTAACCAGGGACTGGCCAGTGAGTGGATTGTCTGTTGCACAGTTGCTAAACATTAAGAAGCTAAAACAGAACCAGGACTTTACAGGGCCACTTAAAAACTGTTTTTGCAATGCTAGAGCATGAAGCCAGGGCCTTATCCCTGTGACACAAGGCTGATGCCACTTGGGAGCCTCTCTGTAGTCTAAGTCCTCTTGTCAGTGGGCAGACAGAATGGTGTTTTAAATCCCCTCTTCAGATTTCCAGTTTTCACCATGGATGTGGTGGCACACAGCTGTCATCCAGGACTATGGTGAACTGGAAGCTAGCCATGCTCCATAGTAAGACCCTGGCTCCAGAAAACAGTAACGGTCACTGTTTTTGTTTATATTACATTGCTCTGTTGTCCGAATGCTTGGATCATT